CAAAATACCTATAAGAGATTTGCATTTATTTTACATATTATGAGAATAACGTGCAACAATAAAGTCAAAATAGGACGAGAATAAAGTTCTGGTATTACAACAATAAAGTCATCATTTTCTGACCTTGTTCTCGTATTTTTCCAACTTTATTCTTATATTATTCTGACTTTATTTTCTTAATATTCCAACTTTATTCTTTCAATATTTTTACTTTATTCTCGTAATATTTAGACTTTATTCTCGTAATATTTTTACTTTATTCTCGTAATATTTACTTTATTCTCGTAATATTTACTTTATTCTCGTAATATTTACTTTATTCTCGTAATATTTTTACTTTATTCTCGTAATATTTAGACTTTATTCTCTTAATATTTTTACTTTATTCTCGTAATATTTTTACTTTATTCTCGTAATATTTTTACTTTATTCTCGTAATATTTTGACTTTATTCTCTTAATATTTTGACGTTATTCTTGTATTATTCTGACTTGATTGTGGCATTATTTTGACTTTTTTCTCCTTATACATTTTTTTCTTAGTGTGTCCCTAATACTCTGTCGTAGGAATCGGATCTGTTCTGATAAAAATCTGAGGTTTTCTTTGTAATCCGTGTCGCTCAGCCCAAGATGGACGTTGTGATGTCTTGTTGAGGAAAACCGTCTTTTCTGCTGGTCTGCATCTTTTCCTCTGTGCAGAAAATCATGACTAGAATAAAAATCCCAGTCCAACAAACCCTCCTCCTTTGTGGCTAATGGACACTTTGTTAGCAAAGAATGGGAGCTGCTCTCCCCCAGCGGGACGGCGGCTCTTACCGCCTTTTAGCTTTAAATAGTGCAGGTCTTCCAGCGCTCACACTTTGCTGCTGCACCACTGTGTCTGTTTATTGAGAAACGGAAATTATTGCGCCAGATAGCATCCAGTCGGCCAAGCCGGTCTCGTTTCCCTCCTAGTTCTTTGTGAAGCCCGGTCAGAAGCGTGAGCGGTTCCAGCTTAAATTAAAGTCTCTTGTTATCTGATGCAGCTTTGTCTCCTCACACGGTCAGTGTTGTCGGCAGCCGCGGTCCATTTATGCTGTGAACTGGCCTCATTTACAGCCCGCGTTTACAAGTCGGCTTTGTCTCCAGCCCATGAAAGGCGGTTTAAAAGGCCTTTAGGAGCTGAAGCTAAAGCTGCAAACAGAACTGGGCTGGGCTGATAACAGAGTCGCAGGCTTTGCTTTGTTTGCCTCTTCTCTTCTGCAACACACACAAAGCAGCGGCTGGTTTATTTTCGTCTTATGGAACGTGAACTTAATCGTTGCTACGCGGTTGTGCGGCTCTATGAGCAGCATTATTACTGCTTGCACACTTCACTTTCATCTTTTACATGTCGTCCTTTCATTTACTCTTCATGTATTCATCATCCGCGCTCTTTTGTTCCTTCCCTGGAGGCTCAGAGCCGCAAAATGTTTCATTGTGGAATATTAAACATCCTTACTCAGGATGTTCAATATTAAGGATTAAGTAAGGATTAAACATTCTTAGATTTAAGAATTTTGACTTAAATCTAAGAATTCTGACATTTATTTCTCCGAATTCTGACTTTAAATTCAAAATTCACTTTTTTCATAAAATTCTGACTTTGACAATGAAAATTCTGACTTTTTTCAGAAAATGTTCACTATTTCTGAAAATTCTTCCTGAACATTTTTTTTCTCAAAATCCTGACTTTTTCCTCAGATTCCTGACTCTAATCTCAGAATTATAATAGTTGAAATTGTTTATGCACCGTCAAGCAAATCTAATCTTAAAACTAAAGTCTACCAGATAAATTTGGGACTATCTTACAGAGTCTATAAAATGCAGGTTTACAAATCCTATAAGCATGAAGAAACGGGTATATTATTTTCATAATATAGCCGTTCTTATAGGATAAAGAAAATCAGAGTTGGAGTAAAAGCCAAACTTACTAAACTTTAGAACGGACTTTCTTATGAAAGACAACAGGATTACTGGTGTACAGTTTTTACATCCTGGACATTTTTAAAGCTACTCACCACCCAGACTTTAACTCAAACCTAATCAAACTTCCCCCAGATGTTGCTTGGGACATGCAGAACGCGTTGGGGGCAGTTTTACTTTTTGTTATTTTGTTTAATTGCAGGTCTCGTCTACCACATAAAAACAAGCCTCTCCACATGTGCATTCCTCTGATGACATCACATGAGGTTCAAGGAAGCTGATTGTCCTGATTTCTTCTGAGTACATCTTGTTTTTTTCTCTTTTTATTGCTTGTTTTTTTTTTTTTTTTTATCAAATTCCTCCCTCACAGACGTTTCCTTTTAATCTGCAACCAGAAGTTGGGTTTGTGTGATAAAACACATGGAGGTTGTTTATGAATAAGACTTTAAAAGTCAGATTTCATCTCTGAAGAGTTTCAGTGATTACTTGGTCAGTTTTCAACAATAACATTCATGTTTTCTGCAGAACTGAAAACAGTTGATCGTCAGCCGTTTTCTACTGATTCCAGCTCCATTTCTGTGCCTCTTGTGATGTCATCGACTCAATTACACACAACGAAGAATTTCATAAATCCATATGACAATAAAGTCTTAACAGAAGGAGAATAAAGTTATTTTATGAGAACTCCAGCATAAAAAAATAATGTAATGCTATCACTTTATTCTTGTATTATTTCAGCTTTATTCTCGTACAGTTAAAATCAGTGCTGACCAACTATTAAGCCGTGTTGGTCAGCACTAGTGCATACAATATGTACGTAACGTGAATGTTTGTGTTTCATCCCAGTGGCCTGTGCTTGATTTTTCTACAGCACATGCAGAGACTCTGCATTCTGGTTCTGGTTGTCAGAGTTCAGCCTAAAATTAAATTCAGATCCACGACAGATTGAAAACTCTTCAGGAACGTTTGTGTTTCTGCATACATTTCAGATGCATTTCCAATATCTGGCAAAAAGCTTGCAAACATGACTGTCTTCAGGACTGTGTTGTGACCCGTTTCTGCAAGTAAATGTTTCTGTTGGTCAGTCCTGCAAATCACCTTTGAACAAAGCAGCTTACGTTCTGAAGTGGTGGTGGTTTCCCTCATGAATATAAATGACTTTTTCAGCCTTTATGCTCGGCTGCAGCCGTCTTTTCCACAAAGCGCGAGGTCGCAGTAAACATTTAAAAGTTGAGCTACATTTTCTCTTACTTTGTCCTGAAAGTTTTGTTGCTTGTCTATTTTTTTTTTCAGTACCGCTCCAGTGACAATTACGGCATCTATCACACGAGTCCGACGCAGCCCAGCCTGATCCGGCCCGTCGTCCTCTGGTCGCAGCAGGACGTCTGCAAATGGCTGAAGAAACACTGTCCGCACAACTACCTGACCTACGTGGAGGCATTCTCACAGCACGCAATCACAGGTTCACCCGTCAGAAGACACATAATCACCTTTTTAAAGTCATCTGACAATAAATCAGGCTAAACTTTCCCGGTTTAGCTCAGAATTTTCAGTTTCTTTAGAGAATTTACAAAATTACATAAAATCAAGGGTTTTAAGACTCTGATTTGGAACCAAGAGTTCAACATTTGTTACATTTTCAGCTGCTGTGGTTCACTTTCACACTGCGCTGTCAAACGATCCAAACTAATTAAAAAATCTGTTCCCCTCCTCTCCTGTGGGGGCGCTATACCAAGAACCACTGAAGGAAATGACACAAAAACCTCAGAAGCAGAGGTTATATAAAATAAATAAAAATGGTGTAGCAGTTGTAGGATTTCTTTTTTGTTTTTTGTGAAAGACCACAAGTCGTTTCTCCCTTTAAAGTTAGACTTGTCGAAACACAAGTCTAACGTTTGGTTGTATTTACCCAGAATCCTCTACACCAGTGGTTCCCAAACTTTTTCTTCTGCGCCCCCCCAGTGGTTTCCAAACATTTTCCCATCCAAAAGCAAGAAATGGACTATAATGCAGGGCATTCTGGGTAATGGCAACCAAAACAAACATGCCAGCAGCAGAAATGGTCTTTTACCAAAGACAAAAGAGAAATTCCACAACCACTAAAATCTGACGCTTCTCCATTTTGTTTACATTTTATGAAAAAGGAAGTTGTGCTCAGTGTCTTCTTCTGAGAGTTTTGTATTGTTTTCTTCAGTGGTTCTTGACGCAGCGCCCCCACAGGTGAGGAGGGGAACAGGGTTTTCAATTAGTTTGGATCTTGCTAACCACAGTAGATGAAAATGTAACAAATGTTGCAACTTTGGGCTCTGGTCAAACCGAATCTCCCGGACTATCAAGTGTGAAAACATCCGTAGATTAATTTTCTTCAGAATAGTGGAAAAGCCTAAATGATAATGTAAAGTCTTCTGAAAGCAGCTTTCACTTTGCAGGCCGTGCTTTGTTGCGTCTAAATGGGGAGAAGCTGCAGAGGATGGGTTTGGTGCAAGAGACGCTTCGGCAGGAGCTGCTGCAGCAGGTGCTGCAGCTCCAGGTGCAGGAGGAAGGGCGCAACCTGCAGCTGCTCAGCAGAGGTAAACGGGGGCGTCTTCAGGGTCCCTTCAGACATTTTCACACAACAAAAACAAAAATCTGTAGTTTCTGCAGCCATATTTATTAAAATCAAAATAATATTGGAGCATTAATTGGAATGAATTTGTTTTTTCTGCCATTAAAAAGAGAAGTTCTCTTGTATTTTCTCTCCTTCTGGACGTTTCTCCTGACACGTCTCCTCTCTGGTCTCCAGCGGTGAGCTCACAGCTGCAGCTCAGGCTCCCTGCTGTGCAGAACATGATTGAGCTGCAGCTGAACAAAAATCTGGACAAAACCTGAGAAAATAACTCGAGACGCCGATCGATTGTTTTTATCCTGCTTTTACATTTTCACTTTCATTCTCCCATCTTAGACTGAGATAACAGAGGTGAGGTTATCCAAGTAGTTTGAAAGTTTTCTGACTTTAAAAGTTTAATGTTGTCTTTTTAATTTACCAGATAGAAACGAAAAGCACCAATTTCCCTTTTGTACTTTTTTCATTATGCCAGAAACAAAAATTTAAATATGTTTACTGAATGTTTTAGTTGCTTGACTTGTCATTTTTGCAGAAATTTCAATTTAACAAAAAGTAATAAGTAAATCAATTAAACATTTACATTGTTTCTATAATTGTGATATTAATTTACCCTGATCCCTCAGTCTTCATTTGATGCTTTGTTTTGCACTTTTTGACTGTAGTTTTATTATGTTCACCAACTCTGAGGAAATAGCGATAATAAAGAATTGTTAACTTAAAACAAGCTGCTATATTGTGCTTTAAAGTTACTTGTCAGTTTTGTCTTATTTCATGTGTACTAAGATATTTGCAGTAGAAACTGGTCCAGAAAAACTCTGTAATATTTTGTGTTTTTGCCGTAGAGGCTCAGGGTAAAGTTTCCACAGCCTGTGATGATGTGGGGAGCCGTGTCATCAGCTGATGTAGGTCCAGTGTTTTATTTAGTCCAAACTGAGTTCAGCTGGAAAGTTTAGAGCGTTTACATAGCGGTTTACTCTGAAACAATACCAGAAACCCTTAAAACACTGAAGAATTGTGTAACCTAAACAGATCTACATAGTCTTGGATATTTTGCACGGGCTTAATAAATCATTCCACACAGCATGTCCAACATAAACGCTGTAGAACGTTTTAATATGAAAGGTTTAAGGTTTAACAACCTTACGGAGCCATTCTGTCTGTAATATCTTATCTGTTTTCACCCTGGCAGATGCAGTAGATATGAAATGATGGGGGCAGAAAAAATGTCTGTACAGTTTATCTTTCATGTATGGACGAGTCAGAAAAGCAAACAACTAATGTAACTGCTCAGCCTCACACAGCTTGTAGTGCCTGAACTCTCGTTTGATTAAAAATAATTGGTCAGTTAACCTCATCATAGCTGGTAAACTAGTGGTAGAATAAATAACAGCCATTTAAAGGGAACCATTACAGAAAATTCTCAGTTTTTATATTTACATTTGGGTCTCAGCTGCTTCTAAAAACAACCCAAGTGGTGAAAAAAAGCACCTAGTTGTTTCCAGCATTAAGTTAAAGTTTTTTTGGTGTCTGGAAAATGAGCCGTTTCAAAACCTTCCCAATTATCAAGTCACGCTTGACAGGCACTGTGCTGTTACCTAGCAACCCCAGCCGAGCTCAGCCTCGTTTAGCAACGCAATTGGAGCTCCAGCATATTTGGACAGCCGGTTTTACCTCTGTATGCGCTGTACAATGGCTGCTGGAAAACACAAGAGTTTTTATTTTTTGTTGACTTACCATCCAGAAGCCACTTGCTGCATTCTTGTTGTTTGTGCAGGAGGCTCAACTAAAGCTTTTCAAAGATGTACGGTTTTATAATTGCTCGTCTGTTTGATCCCATTTTCATGTTTGAGTGTAAACGTTGAGTTTCGGGGCTTGGCCAGCAGCAGCTTATTTGGATTTAAAGTGATAAGAGGCCATAAAACAGCTTGTTCTAAAAGGAGCTCAAAACTGAAATCTTAGAATAATTTTGTTAAAAAAAATATGAAGAACATGTTTTGTATAGACCATAGATCTTTCGTAAACTGATCAGGGAACCATAACAGGTCAGCTTTAAAGAAAAGAGAACATTTAACAGTGCTCACCTCTCATTCTGTGGCTTTTTTTCAATGTTTAAAAAAAACAACATTGTGCTGTTTTTCCAGAGCATTGTAAGATTGATTGTTTTCTGTCTGTTCCCTGGCAACTGCTCAGAAACAAACCCCCCTTCTGTCTTTTTCAGTGACAGCAAATTGTTGTTTTTACACTTTGTTACGGCGCAGGCTTCACCAACAAGCTCTAACATGTCAGACGGGTCGGTTGGTGGATTTTTCCTTTGTGTGTGAAGCCGTCCCAGCTGTTTCCAATCATACTGCCTGGATGAAATAAGAAGCAGCTGCTTGCAGCTGGGACACCGAAAAACAACTGCGCTGAATGTTTCTGATGGTGTTTTTATTCTTCTAGGTTCTTTTGGAAGAATATCTTAGCTGGAGAAACCAGACGCTCCGATGAGGAATAAATCCATCTGAGCTGCAGAATGGTGTTGAACGATTTTAATTCAACATCGACATGACGGACAGACGCCATCTTTACAGACTGTGAACTGTGATGAGAAAAGCATCATGACAATCTGATCTAATGTTGTACTGCTCTGATTTCTGTTTAATTATTATATCCATGTGTATCTTTAAACACTGTCTGAATTTTTATGTCAAAAATTTAATTATTAAACAAAACTATTAAAGTACTGGTGCTTCTTTGTGTGTCAGTTGTTTTGAGATGTGAGATGGACAGAGTTGGGTTGTAACTAGCTACATTTACTCAGTTACATTTACTTAAGTAACTTTTTTTTTTAAAACTAAACACTTTTAGGAGTATTTTTACTACACTGTACTTTTTACTTTTACTTGAGTAATTTGTTACGAAGTATTTCTACTCTTTACTTGAGTAAAAATAAAAATTCATCATACTGCAGTTTTTGTTAGATTAAGTTCTCTTTTTTTTTACTTTTTATTTTATTTTACTTTGTTACTTGTATGACTTATTGTCATCCACTTGTATGACAATAAGTCCACTTGTATTTTGGTCCACCTGATTATGTAATTTTTAAATATTAAATGATTAATAATTTGATCAGTTACTCAGTACTTGAGTAGATTTTTTTTTTTTTACCAAATACTTTTCCTCGGGAAATTTCTTGGATGCCTACTTTTACTTTTTACTTGAGTAAAAATAAGTTGAAGTAGCGTTACTCTTATTTGAGAACAATTTTTATCCGCTCTGCCCACCTCTGGAGACAGATTAATGATGATGGTTGTGATGAACTACATTACCCATAATCCCCCAGCGTTCCCAAGACGGACTCCATTCAAGGCTGCAGCCGATGCAGGATTCCGGCGGATGCAGAGACAGAAAATAATGACTTCCCGCTCGGACAGGTACACCCCGCTCCCATTCGTTGCTTTTACCTGGTTTTAAATGACAAACACAGGAAAGCAAATAATTACGCGTTTATTAACCGCATCCATTCCGCAGCAGCTTGGTTATCCTGTGACGTAACGCTGACCACATTCACACTGACGCGCTTTGTTTCTGCTACTTCATCCAAACAAAACATCTGTCATCCATATGTGACAACAGCTGCGACTAAATATTTATATTATTGTGTCTTTATTAGTTCACTTACATCGTTGTTGATCAAACACGGAGTTAAAAGTAAGTGATGGGAATTACGTCACGGCATACGTCACAGATAGGTAGGAAACCTCTAGATTTCCATCCACCAAGAGAATAACATGAATCTGTCTGTGTTTTGGGTTCATGATTAAAATATTCATTCAGACTGAATTTGTTATTCTGTAGTTATACTGCTTGTGTAACTTTTTTTATTTTGGTCTTTTAAATAAAACAATTTGCTTATAACTTTATATTTTTGTCTGATGACGTTTTAAATATTAAATCAGATGTTCTGAACATTTGAACAGAATATTTAAATAAACATATGTCGTTATACAATTTTTTTGGTACTATACTAGCAGTAGGCGACATTGGAATTTTATCACAATATTTTGTAGTACTATTACCGTTATATTACTATTACCATTTGTTTCTTTTTTTATTTGTTGTTAGATAACAGATTATGAAACACTTACATGGTACAGCTGGTTGGTACTATAGTGACATTTACTTGAGTAACTTTACTACGCTGTAGTAATTTTATTATGAAGTATTTCTACCCACTGAATGACAAACATGTTTTAGCCAAAGTTTCACCAGACACAGACACACATCTACAGTTTTTGCTGAAATTTGATACGTTTTTTCTTATTTTTTTGTTACTTATATGAATTATTGTCATTTTCATCCTTAAAATACCAAAATTTCCACTTAACTTTATGTTTTAGTCTGTCTGATTATGTAATTTTATTCAGTGATTGATAATTTGATCAGTTACTCAGTACTTAAATAGACATTTTACCAAATACTTTTTCACTTTTACTTGAGTAATTTCTTGGACAGCTACATTTTACTGTTACTTGAATAAAAATATTTGGCCACAACACTGTGACAGTTTTAACAAATATGTAATAATCATATTCTTTATAAGAGTTACTGCCGTTTTAAGTGTTTAAAATAATAATAAAAATATGCGGTTAATTGATTAATCATCAGAATAATCGATAGATTACTAAAATAATCATAGCTGCAGGCTTAATCTGATGTGTTCTGGACTCGGCGGTCATCCGGCGAAGAGCACCTGGTCCTCTTTGCGTTTCCAGGTGTCTCTATTTATACCAGCCGAGCGGCTCTTTTCCGTCAGTGATCCTCTTAGCGTCCCACGCTGTGGCAGCAGCGTGGAGCAGCTTTTCCAGTGATAGTTCAGGCTGCAAGCCGAGCTGTAGCCTGAACTGCACACAGCAACAGGTTCCTCCACCTTGTTTCGGGGAGGTTGCCACGGTAACCGAGCGGCTAGAGAGCAGCGAGATGTCAAGCGGATCGGATATGTCTCTGCTTGACTGCACCGGAGCCCGAATCTCCGGGTGCTGGTCACTGAGAAGCGACCGCAGGTAAGCGCTGACTGGACCGTGTTGTTGCTCATCACCGGTGGGAGGAATACTTTCCCACATGACGGTTTTCATATGTGGAGAGATTTAAACGGCCTCCAAACGCGGTGTGGTAAGAGGTCAGAGGTCAGGGGCAGTGCAGGATCTGGATGTAGGTGTGGGATTAATTTGGCTCGGTGTCTCAGATTCAAATGGGAAAGTCATTAGTTTTCATTTCCATTCATGTCTCATAAAAAATGAGAAAGAGCCCGAGTTTAGCTAGCAGCACTGCTAGCTACATTCAGGCTAACTGTAGCTGCTATGAGGGCTGGGCGATAAATTGACTACCGTATACCGATTGATTGAATATTTGTCTTTTGGCGATTTAATTTTTGTAAAATCTGGGCTTTTTTTTTTTTTTTTTACTTTAGTTTTACCAACTCACTCCTTGGATTTCCAGAGTTCATAGCAGCACTCCCAGGGCGGCCATCTTGTTTGCCATGCTTGTTTTCGTTTTATTTTGACTTTGAATGGGCTCTTTGCACCTAAGGCGTTAACGTCACATCTCCAGGAGCTAATGCGGCTCACTTTTTTCCGCTT